AAGTCTGAAGGCATAAAATGGGTACACCACATGCTTTTTGGGATTCAATCGAAAGTGTTGACAGAAACGGAAAAACTTTTCATATAAGATTTTTAGGTATTTATGAGACCTACAAAATGAGACTACACGTAAAAAGATCCGAATAATAGCAAAAATGTTATGGCCGAAAAACGAGGCAAAATGCAGGCTTTGGCACTTGTTGGTAATACGACGATAATTTCACGCAACTACTTGAAATTCTTCAAATCCCTAGGATTCATACTTCTAAATAACAACAACAAAATTCAAAATGTCCTTTGAACTAACCTTGTATATTGCTCAATAAGCTAGTAGTGATGGCTGGAAAACAGGTGTTTTGGGATAGATAATTAGAAATTCTCAAAAACTACTTGACCAATCTACTCCAATTTTGTTGTGGTTACTTAGAAGTACGAATCCTATGAATTTGAAGAATTTCAAATATCTGCGAGAAACCATCGTCGCATTACCAACAAGTGCCAAAACCTGCAGTTTGTCTCTGTTCTCCGCCATAACTTTTTTACTATTAGTCGGATCTTTTTACGTATTGTCACACTTTGAAGGTCTCATAAATACCTAAAAATCTTATATGGAGAGTTGTTCTCATTCTTTGTTGTCGAATAAAAAGTTTTCTCACAAAAAATGGTGTACCCATTTTGTGCGCCCATGTTTTCAATACCCGCTTGAACAACTTGCAGGAATAAAACCAGACTTTACAATTATTCCGCAAACCAGGGATATTTTCGTCTAATATGATTCCGGGAAGTTTGAAATATCTATTTTACGGGCTACGGTCCAAACGCCTTAATCGAATTTCACATGAGGTGTAACTAACGCGGAAGCGCTCAATCGCTGGACCGACCGAAATGTACAGGGTGGCCCATAAGTCCTTTGAGCTGGAAAAAAGGAATAAAACCAAACTAGTTACATTATGAAGAATTATTATATTTTGTTATCATCTTTATTGAATGGGAATTATGTTTTAAAAATCACATCGTCTAAATGCAATCCATTACGATCACGGCACTCATATAAACGACGTCTAAAATTGTTGATGACTGCGCGGCAAGTCAACACTGTAATGCTTGCCATTTCTCTTCGGATATTTTCTTTCAGGACATCAACTGATCGCGGAGTGGTGTCGTACACTTTACCCTTGAGGTAGCCCCATAAAAAGAAGTCCATTGCGGTCAAGTCTGGACTACGTGGTGGCCAGGAAATGTCTCCTCTTCGAGAAATTACTTTGCTGGGAAAAAGTTGACAGACGACGGGCATAGAAGTGTTGGAGGTGTGGGCAGTTGCTCCGTCCTGTTGAAACCAGGTCAGCGCATTATAGCCTGGAAAATTCTGCAACGCTGTTGTCAAAAACTCCTCTATCATTGCTACATACCGCTCCGAAGTAACAGTTAATGCGCGACCTCTGTCGTCTTCAAAAAAATAAGGGTCTACGATGCCATGCGCTGACATAGCAGCCCAAACTGTAACTTTAGGGCTGTGTAAGGGCTTCTGATGCTTACGCCTTGGATTTTCGGGGCTCCAATAACGGCAATTTTGTTTATTTACATGCCCGTTTAAATGGAAGTGAGCCTCGTCCGAGAACAACACATTATTGAGCGAAGAAAATCGATTAAACATTTCATTCGCAAAGTTTAGTCTCTGAATAGTGTCATTATCTTTTAATTCCTGCACTAACTGAATTTTGTAAGCGTGCAGACGTAAATCTTTCCTTAAAATCCGCTGTAAAGATGTTCTGGGTACGTTTAGTGCACTGGAACGCTTACGAGTAGACTGGGATTTTGACGAACAGACTGTGCCACAATGTTGATGTTTTCTTCAATACGAGTTGTCCTTGGTCGACCCCACCGCTGTTTATCTAACGTCGAACCAGTCTCTTCGAACTTAGCAACCCAGTTCTTAATCGTTTGAGCTGTTGGACACTTTGTAAAATTGTGTAAATTGTGGTATTCTCGATATTTACGCCGCGCAATGGTTGCCGAATCATTATTTTGATAAAACGCGCGCACACAAAAAGCACGATCCGCTCCAGTGAAACACTCCATGGCGACTGAATTCCCAGACACTGAAGATACTGCCCCCACCTCGCCCGCGCCGCTCACGCTCACCCGTTAAATTTTATTCAAATTTGAAATTTCAAAGGACTTATGGACCACCCTGTATATGCATTGTGCCTTTACTGCATTTCGAAATTCGTTTTCTTGACGTGATCGTTTTGATTTAGTTTGGTGTTTTGTTTTACTTCAAATGTTATACTGTAAATAAATAATTATTGGCTTAGGATATGTTAAGATATGACAAATAATCTGTGAGATACTCCACGTATTATTTATTGTGTTTCTGATTACACATTAGATATTAATTTATTGTTATATTAAAATGTTGAATAAAAATATCCATTTTCGAAGTAACTGTTACGTTACTATGAATATTCCATACCTTTCTCCGAAACCAATCTATTTCACACTAATGCAAAATGAATGACTTCACAACCTCCATGCCGCCACGAGCTAAGGCCAGTATAATAAATTGTAACCTGATTTCTACGTCCCTTAACGAGTACTGACCTGTAAAAGTAGCATTCAAAACACCCATCCATCGAACGTGACGTGGGACAGAGGCATATTCCAGCTTACTGAACGCTAGACATTCAACAGGTGACATACATCGACAGACAGAAGACTTCAAAGGACAAAGTTCCGTTCCACCCTTTTGCTCGTTTACAGAATGTCGCTTTTTCTTCACGTGTCAACTAGCTTTTCTTTTGAAACGGATCGATTCTGCGAAAATCCTGTCTTGACATACAACATATTCACAATGTGTGCAAATTGTGGTATGCCATGTGGAAAGGACTCTCAACTACCTGCCCGCCAGTAACGGTACTACCATAGACGGGGGGTCATATAGGGGTACGGCAGAGGGTTAAAGTATTTTTGAAACAAAAGAAGGACAAAACACTATGAAACATACAAACCAAAATTTGGGAAATTTCGATTATTGTTTGTTTATTTGTTAAAGCTTTATTTAGCATTACTTTTGTATGATTACTATCTTACGCATTTTTTTGTAATTTTACATCCTTGTCTATTAAAATTACTACGCTATGCATTTTGGGTATTCATGACGTGATTTTTAATTTCATCTTAAACATGTTTAAATTCGAACACTGTTTCATTATTCAATTTATTAGATTCAAATACTTCCCTTTGAAATACAGATTTGCTACTTATGCTACTATTACAATTTTGCAGATCAAAATCTATACTGCCTCTAGTTTCGTATATTTAATTTCTTGAAGTTTTCCAAATGTGGTGGTAACAGATGATGTCTTAATATGAATATGAACATGAGAACTAAATAACATAAAAAATTTTTACATTCAACCACTGCAGTTCTTCTATTATAGACTTAATTTTAGCATATTTGGATAAATTGTTATAGTTTTATTCTGTAGAATTTCTAATTTTTAAAATATGTCTTCATTTGCAGTGAACAAAATAGTTGAGCAACTTAAAAAATGGGGAAGAATTATGGTGTTAAACACGATTTTTTTGAAACCCAGATATTTGAATGATTCAATTTTTTCATCATTACTCATGAGTCTAATTTTATTGTCACCTAAATGTTTCCGTATTGACATACATTTGGTTTTATTAGTGTTCAATTTCAGTTTATTCACAGTTAACCAATTTATATTTTTTTAATATCACTATTTAACAATTCGAATGCAGTATCCATATGTTAATGTTATGTCAATGTGTCATCTGGAAATATTTGAGTTTTGCATTTGTCAAAGATATCTTTTAAATAATCATATAATGTGCCTAATTTATTCCACTGTGGCACCCCTTCTGATACATTTTTTTTTACTTCTATTGACTGAATAATTTTGGAAAATACTGATTCTTTAAAACCAAAGTGATTTAATTTCATTAACAGTCTTTCCTATCTATAGTCTCAACCGCCGTTTTGAAATCTAAAAATACTGTCGCCGAACATTTTTTCTCATCTATACTTCTTCTTCAGTCTTCCACCGCTATTTGGATTGCTGTTTCTGTAAATTTTTTTTTGTCTGAATCCAGATTGATATTTTGTCAAAATTTTATTTTCTTCAATGAATTCAATGATTTTCACTGGTTTCAGTCAAGGTTTAAAAAGTATAATAACACTGGCAACATTTCTATAACAGAAAGCATCTACAATAATAACGGGAAAACTTCCTCTATGCATAGATCATATATATATATATATATATATATATATAGGTGAAAAATTAAAGCTTCCGCCTTTTGTTGGGTACTTCGACAAAATTTAAGCAAAGAGGACTCTATATACTTTTTTAATTCTCTCTAGCTTTCAATGGACTTTGCCATCATCATCAGGAGCTGCAATTACATTGATAACAGTAGCAACAAAAGTGTAAAATGAATTTAAATTGACTCAACTTACAGTAGTATGTGAGGATGTTGCTAATTGTTGTTTACGTATAGGATGAGGGAAACGTCCAGTAACATGGTGAGAGCTGGATAGATGGTACAATGGTCAAAATTATATAAAATATGACAAGAACAAGTTAAAAACAGATTAAAAATTATTTAAAAAACATTAGAGCATTACATCGTGAAGCCACTTGATGATTGCACAAAATGGTGGTCATGGAATAATGAGTGAGATGAAACCCTTTGATAGAAGGCCGAAGGTTGTCAATGTCTGTGTTGAACGATGGAACGAATTGTGGGCGTGTGCCAAACGTTGCCAAATCACTTCAGATGATGTGATTTTCAGAATGTTATGTAAGAAATTGTTAAACCGACCAGGGGCAGTTGAATAAACTATATTTTAATTAATGGGAATTTAAATTAACAACTATTAATAAATTGGCATAATAAGTCATGTGACAGAAGAAGGCATTCAGGAATGGAGGAGACGTAGAGAAGAAGCTGAAGACTATAGCAGCCAAATTTCAGATAGAATTGTTAATGGAGCTTGGCACCTATCTCAAAACATCATCTCAAAAGGCTGGTGAATTTTTTAACTCTACCAAACCTAAACTGATCAGTAAGCTGCCGCCAGCGCAACAACCAGCTCCCGTGCCAAGACCTCTATCTAAAACTATGAAGGTAGCAGAATGTGCTACTAGTACAGCAGCCAAAGTTACTGGTGTTGTTGCTGAGAAAGTTGGTATTGCCCTACATCCAATTTACCATTGAAAAAGAAGATGAGAACCTGTCTGTCCCCTTTCTAGACACAAGACTCATCCGCACCAACAACAACAGTTTATTGGTAGACTGGTACCAGAAATCTATGGCCTCAGGTCGGTTTCTCAATTTTAGGTCATACCATAAGCTAGGGATTAAAATCAATTTGGTAAAACAGATGAAAACAAGGGTAATCAGCATCTCAGATAATACCTTCCACACCTCAAATTTACGTAAACTATCAAAACTGTTCATCAATAATGGTTATCCGAAGTGTCTGATTAACAAGATCTTATTTAGTTCACCTTCCAATATTTTGCCGAACTCTGGTGATGCAGGTAATAGTCGCACAACCCCTAATAACGGAACTGATGTAATTCCCAATAATAACATCAATCCAAACAGTACAAGCACCAACCCGGACTACAGACCTGGTTTTGCTGTCCTGCCCTATATCAAGGAACTGACCCCTAAGCTGATCAGATTGTGTAGTCCTTTGAACTTTCGAATTGCTTGCAAATCCGTCCTCACTATAAACTGCATTTTTTCAAAAATGAAAGACAAAGTCCCGCTGCTTGGCTTAACCAACACAGTCTACTCCATCAATTGCAACAACTGCAACCAAATATACATAGGTCAGACCTCCAGATCTCTTAAAGGAAGGATTACATCACACAAAAGTGATGCTAGGCTTCATCCTGAAAGATACGCTCTGGCATCTCATGTTAACACAACAGGGCATTCTATGAATTACACAAGTATCAAAGTTCTTGATAAAGAAAAACACATTTCCAAACGTTTATTCCTGGAAATGTCCCACATTTTCATGAATAACAACTGTATCAACAAAAAGACAGATGTTAAACAACTGAGTGTCATTTACTCATATTTGCTAAACTGCGAAAAATTGGAGAACTTACATATCTCCCCAAATTTCGACTCTTCACAACCATAAATAGAATCTGTGTTTTGGCCGATTCCACTGCCTCTGGTCGGTTTAACAATTTCTTACATAACATTCTGAAAATCACATCATCTGAAGTGATTTGGCAACGTTTGGCACACGCCCACAATTCGTTCCATCTTTCAACACAGACATTGACAACCTTCGGCCTTCTGTCAAAGGGTTTCATCTCACTCATTATTCCATGACCACCATTTTGTGCAATCATCAAGTGGCTTCACGATGTAATGCTCTAATGTTTTTTAAATAATTTTTAATCTGTTTTTAACTTGTTCTTGTCATATTTTATATAATTTTGACCATTGTACCATATATCCAGCTCTCACCATGTTACTGGACGTTTCCCTCATCCTATACGTAAACAACAATTAGCAACATCCTCACATACTACTGTAAGTTGAGTCAATTTAAATTCATTTTACACTTTTGTTGCTACTGTTATCATTGTAATTGCAGCTCCTGATGATGATGGCAAAGTCCATTGAAAGCTAGAGAGAATTAAAAAAGTATAAAGAGTCCTCTTTGCTTAAATTTTGTCGAAGTACCCAACAAAAGGCAGAAGCTTTAATTTTTCACCTAACTGGTCTAGACGACAATGACCACGTCTCAAGTTATATATATATATATATATATATATTTTATGATGTTAATATTGTTACAATTTCGAATTCGAGACAAACTTATAAGCTATAGCTTAGAATAAATTATCTCGCTTGGAAATATTATTTTGCTTATACGAGGTAAAATCTGCACGACAGTTTAGATTCGTTCTAATTTGGAAATTCTCTGAGGTTTGCAATTGAAAATTCTACATGCTAGAGAAGTAATGCTCACTAACAGTAAAGTTAGAAAAATATTAATTTTATATTCGCAATCAGTGCAGTTAGTAACGTAGAAACTAGCAGTAACCTGTACATTTTTAAGAAGGTATGAAATATTGCGATTATTTTTTGTACTGCCCTGTATAAAGCGTATTCAAGTGTGGTGAAGTTTGATGCAGAGTGCTAACATTATGCCTTATACTGTCAAAGACTCAAAAAAAAAAATAGATTGATGGGCCAACGGATAGGAACAATTGGAACTGCACTTTTTATGCTTAAATAAGATTCCAAGAATGTTTTATATGCCTGTCAAGGCAAAAGAAGAAGCTACCTCCTACGATTTCTACCCTGTAATTTTGTCAGGTATATCTGCCTATAAATCACAGATTGCCGATGGCATTATACAATTTTTTACTACAGGCTATCAAACTTTAGACACGCCAAGGTCGAATCATTTGGTTGTAAAATAAAAAATAAAAAAGGTAGGTATCCGGTAGATGACATCAGAAAAATTATGTTTATTGGTTAGTCAAAATTATAGCAAAATTATGATTTAGTTTGTTTGTTTGTTTAAGATTTGTTTAGCATGATTGCTACAATTATATTTTTTTTAGAAAACTACAACAATGACATAATATACAAATATTCACAAAACCAAGGCTTGCTGACTAGCTAGTTATTACTCGTAGCTTTATTTTGTAGAACCTGTAATTTTGAGAATACAGCGAACAAGATAGTTGAACAATGTAGTAAATGCGATACACTAATTTTTTTGGAATATGTACTAAGACTATGAGGAGCTATACTATAAAAGTAATTTGTTTTTTTGCAATTTTTGAAATAAGGTAGTTCATATATTTTGTTGTAGAAACATTCAATTTTTGCTTATTCACATTTAACCAATTTATGTTTTCCACGTCAGAATTTAGCATCTTTAAAGCAGTGTTTATATTTTCATCTGATATGTATACTAATGTATCATCTGCCAATATCCGAATTTTACAATAATACAAAATAGTAATGTGAGAAATTAAGCAGAAGCAGACTCAATCAAAAGTGACATGTATAAGTAGTTCAACAAAATTGGGACCGATAAGGTGGTATTTTTCAACAAATATATATTTTTGCACAATGTGCAGAGGATTGAAATAGATATACACTTTTGGTAATTTTCATACTATACCATTTTATTGATTCACCAAAAGGGTCAAAATACTTCGAAAGCCGTGCAGTTTTTGAATATGGCTTAAAATGTAAATCTTATTTGTTGCATATTTATGATTCCTTAGAATCTGCATGTTAAAAGCTCATATGTTCCATCATGAATCTACTCTCGTTCTTGTAGTATACCAAACCCTGAGCAAATTTTAAAAGTTGGTATAGTATGGAATTCTTCCACACTTTTTGTAATTCTGAAATGCATATTGTGGATGAATTTCACAACGACTTCCATTAACAATATCACCACTTATCGAAATTGTTAAAATGATAACAATTTCCTGCTGGGGTACACAGAAATCCGATAAACACTATTTATACACATCATTAGACAATTTGAACAAATACAGATAATGTAAAAAACCAGCTTGTCCTCGCTTACAAAGTATATTCCCATTCAATATTGTAAACATAAACCACATACAATCGGTTTCAACAACATACGGAGATATCTCGTGAAAACAGCATAATATTGGAAGAGATAAGCTCAGTTGTACCGAACATTTTAGTCTTGGGTCCTACATGGTATCAACTCTATTCCTAAAAGTATCGATGTTGAATTTAGTACCCACTAGGAGGCGCTGTTGTGGTTGGAAATGAAACTGTCAAAATAAGATGGGAAAACAGGTAACCTATTTTCACACAACTTCATCATGTTCAAACGTCTATTGATGTGAATAGCTCATCAACAACTGACACACATAGTGCGGTCGAATCCGGGTATTACGTATCTTGAAAAGTGACATTATGTCGATTTTTTTGACATTATATTGGTTTTTATGACATTATGTAGGTTTTTCCACAAGATGTTAACATAGCACTAGCTGATGGACACATTGTGAACTCGTTTTGTAGTCGTACGTGTTGCCTAAACGTCTTGAGGCTTTAGTTATCAATGTTTGGCTCTGATGTGATGTAGAATCTGCTTCAGAGATGGCATTACTGGAGGTAACGGCAACGCATAGGTACATAGTGAGGATATGATGTGTGCTAATAATATGTGTTGATGATAATTTAATTGGATTCTTGTCTCGAATGCACTTACTTGAGATTCAAAGCTAGAAATTAGTTGCGCATCCACTTTATTTATCCATTCTGGAAATTACATATGGAAATTTGCTGAATTTAAAAAATAAGAGTCATAAGAAATAATTATATTCACTGTACACTGTCAAATTATAAGTCATATACATGCTAACAGTAATTACACACAATGCGGGCGCGGTGGTGATTTCCCGTAATTCTCCTCAAACTTTTTGAAAACAAAAAAAAAACGTAAAAGCTCGTGATTTATAACTTTGAACATAACCTGTCTTGAGAAAGGACACCATATAAATAAACCGTCGAGCACAGCTAATAGATATACTTTACTGGCAGCATATTCAGTAATGATTTTTTCACACAGCAAATATCATTGTTTTTATACACATGAAGACCAATACACATAATCATCCAGATGCGATCTTGCTATTCAACCAACTTTCTTCTCAGAGATGAAAACTATAGACTACTCGGCTTTACAAAACATAGGCAACCAACAATGTGTGTAGTTGAGCTATTTCTCCATAGATGGACGCTCACAACCATCCTAGTGAGCAAACGTGGAATGACTGTTTGCATCCTAAAAACTACCTAGTCTGCAAGATGACGTTTTATAAGTTTTTTACATAATACCCGTACCGGAATACCTGGCCGAAATTCAAAAAATCAAAACAGTTTTAGCGGGTAATTGATTCATACCCGTTATTAGCGGTATCAAAAACTGAATGTCTTCAGCAGAACAAAAATATAATTTGCCATCAAGTATCACGTAGTTTGAAAATGCTTGACACCAGGTAGAACAAACAAGTTGAGTCAAGCATTAACTTTTCAAATGATTTTATTGTCAAGTCAAGTAGTTTATGAGAATATCATGCTACTTGACTTGATGAAGCCTTAGGCTGAATGTAAAAAAAATTGTAAAATTACAGTGCCACACATTTATACATAAATTAATTATGACTTTCACA